GAGAAATCAGATAGACTATTAACAAGAGACAATGTCACTATAAACAGTGACAATTAACAATTAACGAGAGGTACCGAAATTTAATCAAAATAACTAAAACGCTACCTGGAGATGATGTGCCCTCAGATCATAACTTATTAATCAGGTACATAAAGCTTAAACTTAAAATAGTAAAACGCAAATAACCAATTAACCGAATAAACACTGACTGTTTTCAAAATAATAGTCATGAAATTACAAAAGAGATAAAAAAAAGTTCGAAAAATTGAAAGGAACACATAACGTCGAAGACCACTGGAATCATGTCAACAGCATTATGCAAGAAACAAATAAATAGTATAAAACTATTACGATTAATAATCGCAAACAACAATGGATGACTGATGAAATATTGGGACTAATGGAAAGCAGGCGAATACAGAAACATAAAAACACTGAAGAATACAATAAAATTCATAAAGAAATCAGAAGGAAAATCCAAAATGCAAAGGAAAAATGGTACAGCAACAAATGTCTTGAAATAGAAGAACTGAAGAAAAAGAATGACACGTTAATATGTACAAAAATGTGAAAGAAATTACTGGAACATATAGACCAACTGCAAATAGTTTACTTGATAAACAAGAAAATATTATAGTCAATGAACAAGACAGATTAGAGAGGTGGAAAGAAAATATTGAGGAGCTGTTTGATGACGAGAGGACAAAAATTCAAATAAAAAATATATCGACTGGTTCAAACATAACACTCGATGAAATGGAAAGAGCTATAAAATATACAAAACAGGACATATACCAACAGACTGGCTACTGTCAACATTTGTAATGATACCGAAAAAAATAAAGGCCAAACAGTGTAGCAATCATCGCACTATCAGTCTGATGAGTCATGTACTGAAAATTTTCCTAAGAATACTGCACTCGAGAATTTACAACAAAATAAAAGTACAACTAAGTGAAACACAATTTGGTTTCAGAAACAACCTTGGAACCAGAGAAGCACTCTTCAGTTTGCAGGTCATGGTTTAAAGATGTAGTGATATAACAATCAGTATATGTGTTTTATCGACTTCGAAAAGGCCTTTGACTGAGTAGACCATGACAAACTTATAGGTGTCTTGCAACAGGTGGGAATTGATGATCGAGACCTTCATATTATCCAAAATTTGTATTGGAATCAATGTGCAAACATACGAGCGGGACCTCACACGACGGAAGCAGTGGAAATACGACGGGGAGTGAGGCAAGGATGTATTCTATCACCTCTACTTTTTAATATCTACTCCGAATTTATTTTCAAAGAAGCCTTAGTTGAAGATACAGGCATTAAAATCAACGGAAATAATGTCAACAATCTCAGAAATGCAGACGACACGGTACTTATTGCCTCTAATAAAGAAGACCTGCAACGACTTATAAATAGTGTACCTGAAGCATGTGATGAATATGGGCTAAAACTTAATACCTTTAAGACAAAACTTATGGTTGTCAGCTAAACGGAGTTACAACTAACGAACATCAGAGCGTATGGAACAGAGTTTGCACCCTACTTGGGTGCAAACGTTAACGGGGATATAAATAAAGAAATAGGAACTCGCCTTCCACAAATTAAAGAAAATTCTAATTAATAAAAATATTACGTTAAACCCTAAAATAAGATTAAAAGGCTGCTACATATTCTCCACATTGCTGTATGGTATGGAGAGCTGGACCCTTACAGAGACATTAATGAAAAAATTAGAGGCCTTTGAGATGTGGATTTATCTACGAGTATTGTGGATAAGTTGGGTTGATCGAATAAGAAATGAAATAGTTTTACATCGAATGAAAAAGAGCACGGAAATAACAAAAACGATAAAAATTCGAAAGTTACATTTCGGTCATGTAATGAGACATCCAGAGAGGTATAACCTTCTAAACCTCATAATACAGGGTAAGATCGCCGGAAGAAGAGGCCCAGGCCGACGAAAAACATCCTGGCTCCGAAATCTCCGAAAATGGTGTCAAGAGACCACCGCTAATTTATTTAGAGCCGCCGTAACCAAAGTTATTATTGCCAATATGATCGCCAACGTTCGATAATCGGACAGAGTACTGGAAGAACAAGAAAGCAATATCAGTGATTTTTAATTAATTTGTAAATAATTCTTAATTTAATTTGTCTAGTTGCGTAATTCTGTATTTTAACAAAAAAAATATTCTTTCATACAATTTTCGTTATTTTTAAATTAAGAATTCATTAAAATTAGGACCTTACGATTAGGACCTTAAGATCCGAAGAATTGTTTTGTCTATCCGGTTTTTAAAACAAAATTAAAAAATAATAATAATGATATTTTTTACATAAAGTAAATGAATTTAAAATATTAAAGTTTTATTATAAATTTTTTACTACAATCCGAATGGACGAAATAAGCTCTGTCATTAAGCACAATAAATACTTTAATGATCACAGCCCAAACAGCGCATAGAACTCTTATTATCATACAGGTGTACGCCCCACTGCAGTTAAAGATGAAAATGAAATAGAAGAGTTCTACAATGACATTAAAAAAGCACTAGACAGCACCAATAATAAAGATATAACAATAAAAATGCGGGGTTTTAATGCCAAATTAGGAAAAGGTAAATTCCAAGACACTATTGGTGAATTCGGACTAGGAATAAGGAGCGAAAGAGGGGAAAGACTGACGGAATTCTGTCAGGAGTTTAAAATGGTAGCGACAAATACATTCTTTTAGTTACCACCATATGCACCGGAGACAAGGACCGATACAAGAAAGACGAAACAACAAATCAACAAAATCGAAATAAAAGTCATGAAAGTATGAAAGAGACAGACAAATCAACAGAAGTATACGCAAACACAATGCAAAATTCAAAATATTAACAGGTGGATAAAAACAAGAAAAAAAAATTGAACGAACATGTAAACCGAATGGGACCAGATAGATTAGCAAAAATCTGTAAAAACAACAAACCGTATAGCAAAAGATCTGTTGGAAGTCCGCCAATAAGGTGGAAAGATAATGTACAGTCAACAACGACTGAAACAGAATAAAAGGCAGAAAAACAGGAGTAATCCTAGTCGCACGAAGAAGAAGAAGAAGAAGTTACAACCACGTAGATTATATACATGGAAGTCACCTGCGGATAGCAACGAAAAAATTATCAGAAACCAGATAGATTATATCCTTATCAATAAGAGGTACCGTAACTCCATCAAATCGGCAAAGACATATCCAGGAACAGATGTGTCATCAGACAACAATCCAGTAATCGTAAAATTCGGAATCCACTTAAAGAAAATAAAATATCAACAAAAGACACAACAAATAAGCACTCTGCTATAAAACCCGAATATAAAAGGAGAACTAACGTTGAAACTTAACGAAGATTTAAGCAAAACAATAATCATTGATAATAAAGATTCCAACGAAAAATGGGAGATATTTAAGAACACATTAATGATGCCAATTAAAGATACGCTGAGTAGTCATAAAATCGATGAAGCTACGACTCCATGGGTGACATAATATATACGGCAACTAATGGACAGAAGAAGATCCTATAAAAACAAAAATGTAAACGAATACAAAGCCACATACAAGGAGATTAGGATAAAAATACGGTCAGCTAAAGAGATTGAGAGCCTTGATTACAATAAGGCGTTCCATAGGGTCCGACACAACCATCTTATACAGTTACTTAAAGATAAACACATTGACAAAAAATACTTAAGAATAATAACTCATCTCTACTTTAACCAAACAGCAAAAGTCAGAGTAGGCAAAGAACTTTCGGAAGAAGTAGAGATAAATAGAGGCGTAAGGCAAGATTGCATACTCTCTTCCTTATTGTTTAATCTATATTCGGAAGAAATAATTAAAAAGTCACTCGAAAATGTAACAATTTGAATAAAAGTCAATGGCAGACCCATCAACAATATCAGATATGCCGATGATACTATACTAATTGCAGAGAATATACAAGATCTACAGACACTTTTAGATATTGTAGTAAATGCTAGTGAGGAAAGCGGACTAATGCTTAATGCCAATAAAACAAAATTTATGATAATTTCCAACACAGAACAACAAGACATTTTAAACATAAGAGGGGTTCCAATAGAAAAAATAAGAAAATACAGACTTGGTACAATAATTAATGAAAATAACGAGTATACAGAAGAAATAAAAATGAGAATTGCTACTATACAAGCTACAACAACATTTAATAAGATGAGAAGAGTATTATGCAATAGAGACCTTACTTTGCAACTCAAAATAAGAATATTACGTTCATATGTGTCTTAGGTGCTGTTGTATGGGGTGGAGGCCTGAACCTGAAAGAAAGAGTACCTACCAAAGAATAGTAAAAATAAGTTGGGTACACCGAATAACAAATGTTGAGGTTCTCAGAAAGATGACAAAGGAAATGGAAATCATGAATACGATTAAGATAAGAAAATTACAATATCTCGGTCACGTTATGAGAGGGGATAAATATCTGTTGCTACAAACCATAATGCAGGGAAATATACAGGGAAAATGAAGTATTGGAAGAAGACGCATTTACTGGCTCAACAATCTGAAAAAGTGGGATAATTGCAGTTCCATCGACTTGTTCCGAGCTGCAATCTCAAAAGTGAAAATAGCTGTGATGATTACCAACCTCCTTAGAGGAGACGTAGAGGAGACGGTATCCAAAGAAGAAGATTAAACACATAAAAACACCTTTAAGTATGAAATTACCAAATATCAAATTATTTCCAATTTTTCTTACGTAATATTTTCCTATTCATTTCCAACTTAATGATCAGCTCGTGGTATTATTACGCTTATTTATTTTATATACATATCTAACCCATTTTTTGAACAATTAAGGTAAATCCTAATGATTTCTAAATGTAATGGTTATCTCCTAATTAACACAAACATTATAAATAACAATGAAAAGTCATCCTCTGATTTTATCGGTTAAAAAATAAAATAGTCCATGATGTATTGGAAATTTTTTTTAGTTTTAGTTTCCGTGATTGGTGCTTTGGGTAAGATTTTTTTGTTAATTTTTTTTAATTCAGATCCTAACTATAATTATTGTCCCAGCAAACATGTAAATAATTGATATCAACTAAATAAATGCCCAAAAAAAACTCTTCTGGCAAATTTTCCATTTGTGTATCTTGATTTAAAGATTTCACTTAACAATTAAAAATTGCAATCTATTACACCTTTGACTTTTGTACTTATTTTAGTCTTCTTAGTCTTCATCTTAGTATCTTTTTCATCATTTATGCATTGTTACTTTTAGGAATCTTATTCTTCGTATTCCATTTTATTCTTCGTATATTAAATTATATTTGGTGATCCATCTGGTTCGATCAAGTGATTTAATCAGCACTATCACATAAGATTATTCGAAATTTACCCATTTTTGTGTTATATTATATTATTGTTGTCAGTAATACATTATCTGCTCTTGAAGTTCTCGTCGTTTTTATGTATGATCTGGAAATCGCTTTTTCTCTTCTACTACATGCCATTAGCTTTATTACATATTCATTTTTTTATTTTAAGTTTTTTTTTAATTGCCGGATTCTCGTAAGGTATCCATTGAATTCTGACAGGCAATGGTGGGGGAAATCTTTTTTGGACCTCTACATCTCGGAATAAGACACCCTGGTATCTTTCGGCTGAGTGGGACACTAAGCCAGAAGACCCCAGGGTAGTGCCGGATTAACCGTGTTCCGGCTAAAACCTTAACCACCGTTACAGAGAGGTGGTCTTGCCACTCAATAAACAACTAAAATAATAAAAAAAAAACTAAAAATTTATATATAACCATACCTATTACCGTAAATCAGAAAATGTTTAGACGGTAGGCCATAAACTAATAAATAATATTAACTATAAATTTTTAGATCCCTGACTTAATTTCCTCATCTGTCCTTCTGCTCCTTTTTCTTCATCACCCCAGAAATTAGACAGTGTAGTTCTCCCCATTCTTTTTCTCCTCTCAACATTATGTTAACAATGTTTTTTTTATCCAGAACTAAACCGATTCGCCTCCCGAAATCTCCCATCTCATTTGCCCATCTCTGGTAGTTAAAAATTTGGGCGGGAGTATCCTATACCGCACAAACAGTACAGTCTGCCGAGGCAGATTTGCCTATTCTATTTGTGAAGGTGCCAAAACTACCATGTCCGGTAAGAAACTGCGTCAGGAAGTAGTCTAGTTTCCTGAACTTACATTCCCACCACGGTCTCAGATAGGGAATAAGCTCCTCCGTCCACCATGCCTTCCAACTATCATTCGCCCATTCTCTCTGCTACTCTACTATCGTTATTATTTTAAGATTTAACCGATTGAGTTTTTAAAAATTGTAATATTATTTAGTTTTGTAACTTTTATATTTATTAAATTTGTTACAAGTTGTCTGAATGTTCCTTATTGTGAAATATAGGGATTTGTTGATAATGTTGCTCATAACACTAAAGCCAATTAAGCTAATAATTATTCTTTCTATGTAATGCCAAAAGTCTTCCAGTATTAACATAATACAGGGTGTTTTAAAAAGGTATGTCAGAAATTAATTCACGCAATCTGGGGACAAAAATAAATTGATTGAATCCAGCTTACCTTAGTTCAAAAGTGTACAAAAAAAACTTACAGCCCTTTTAAGTTACAAAATAAAAATTGTTTTTTTGCGTAATCTCCTAAACAACATGACATTTTGTAATAAAAATGGATATGTAAGTTTCTTGTTATGAAAGCATTTTACATAAAAAAAGAAACAAGAAAATCTAAGCAAATAAAATTTTTTTAAAGGAGGTGTGCAGCCCTAAATTCCCAAACTTTTAAGTACGTTCAAATTAAATGAATTTTGTATCATAATTAGTTTAACACATTATTATTAAAATTTTTTGCCTCTTATCACTTTCTTCAAAAAACAATTTTTATTGAGGCCATTTTCATTAACCTTTAAAAAATTACGTGCAACTAAATAAATGGCTTAAATGAATTAACAAGTAGAAAAAATGTGTATAACCTGTATAAATATTATATTACAATAAATGTTTAAAATGACCCCCATTTTCTTCAATACACATTCGGTATCGTTTTAATAAGGAAAACCGAATTCGCTGAAAAATCATATTTTTCTGACGAAATTGATTTGCAGCTTCAATTATTCTAACCCTCAATTGTTGTTCGTCCTCTATTGTTACAGAATATACTTTCTCTTTCATAAACTACCAAAAGCAAAAGTCCATGGGATTAAGAACTGGACTTCTAGGTGGGAAAGAAATAGGTGCGTTACGACCTCTTCCAATCTACTGACCAGGATACTACCTGCAAAGGTATTCCGGACTTCATTACTGTAATGCGGTGCAGCGCCATCTTGTAGAAACCACATGTTTTGTCTTATTGCAATATTCACTTCTTCCAAATACTCTTGTAAATCGTTTGCCAAGAACTGCAAACAATTATCACCGTTTAAATTCTTGGAAAGAAATACTGGGCCTATTAGATTGTTATCCACAATTCCTGCCCAAACATTAACTTTGAAAGTCCTTTGGTGACGAGTCGTTTATTTGGCGTAAAGATTTTCTTCGGCCCAAATGTGCTTGTTATGATGGTTTGTTATTCCATTTCTACTGAGGGTAGCCTCGTCGGTAAACAAAATGTTTCTAATAAAATTAACATTTCGAGTGTTTTCCATTAACAACCAATCGCAAACCCTCACGTGAGGAACATTTAGTTGAGCAGCTATTACCTTGTATGGGGATGGTTTTTGACAAAACACCGGTTTTCGGTTATACCGGTTTTTTGCTTACGGTTTAGCCAGGCGGTTATAGCCAGCCAAGTTTTCCTAAAAACCGGTTTTTGTTTTTTTTTTGAATTCAATAGGTTACAAAGTTAGCGACACTTATTAATAAAATAAAATAAAATTTGAATTATGGTTTTGTTTGGAATAATTACATGAGAATAATAATTATGAATGGGATTCAAAATAATACCTAACCTAATCCTAATCACCGTAAAAACCAAATAACCAGTTTTTACTTTAAAAATAAAAAAACGGTTATAACTGGGACAAAAAAAAACAACCGATAAAACCGGTTATTGCGATGTAAAAATACCGGTTTTCGGTTAAAACCAGCAGGTTTTTCCTATCCCTACTTGTACTTGTTCCAGGAACTTCTTCAATGATTTCTAAAATGTTTTCATTAGTTGCATCCATTTTTGGACGACCACTATTCGCGATTGAAAACAAAGTATCTGACCTCTGGCGGAATAAATTTAAACTACTAAAAGTGGTATAAAACAAACCACACTATATACCCAAAGCTGTTGCTTTGAATAGAATTATTAATTTTGTTTAGTAACTTTCAGGATTTTGACTACGTTAAAGTATTTTAAATCAAATCGATATTGTTCTGGTCCTTAATGCAATTCAAGGTCGACAAAAGATATGTCCCTATTTGTCTTTCCTAAACTGGAAAATTTGAAGAAAAAATGATTAATTATGGGATCATTTAAAGACAAATCATGTGCTATGATCTTTTCTGACAGGTGATCTCAAATTAAGGTTGATTTTATGTAATCAAATGAACTATCTTACAATAATATATAATAAAGTACTTACATATTATGTCAAAAAAAGTATAAAATAAAAATTAACATATTAAAAACATAAGGCATAATATAAAATAATGAATATATTAGTTAAGACCAACACTATATTCAGGGTTCCCATATATACACAAATTAGGATTCATCATCATCAATACACAAGCCAGTTTCAAACATTAAAGTTAAAATTTAAGAATTCATCACTTAAAAACTGCTTCCCCTTTAACCAATGGACTCTTTGTTTTATTACAATACAATACGCAAAGACATCATTAAGGTTAATTTCCATTTTTTTAAATGATATAAATAACTCTTTTTAAACCAAACTAAACGTGGAAAAGCAATGGTAAATATTCGACTGTTATGTTTGTTTATACCATTTATATCGGCCATGACACTGCAATCGACCTGCCCTCTACATTCAGTTTCAATCGCGAGTTGCCAGCAACTTGCGGTTGGAATGTACCAGTTTCCCGTAAACGACGATCAATGGTCAGAAATAATCGTCTAACGGTCTAATAATCGTATATCTATTATTTTGATTGGAGTATTTTACTGTATAACGCCTTGCGGCTGTTGCATTATTTCCTTGACATTCACCTACGATATTCCCGATAGTTTATTGAAAATCATAATTTAATCTGATCCAATTTACCCAAAGTCAAATGCATATCTGCCATTTGCTGAAATGTGTAGGACATTGTAATATCAAAATTTTTAATATTAATCTTATTCACACATTAAATGATAGCTTCAAATTATTAACTATTATTGATGGAACTGTTTGTAATTATTGTATCCGTAGAAACTAAATTGTAATTTTACGGCCAACTAGAAAAAACTAGCTTTTGGAAAAAGTGATAAGAGGCAAAAAAGTCTTAAAAATAATATGTTAAACTAATGATGCCACAAAATTCATTTGATTTGAACTTACTCAAAAGTTTGGGGTATTTAGTGCTGCACATCCCCATTTTTCTGTGTGCTTAGATTTTGTTGTTTCTTTTGTATAAAAAATGATTTCAGAACAAAAAAGTAACGTGTCCATTTTTATTAGAAAATATGAACTATGTGTTATTTAGAGCATTCGAAACAAGCTGTATAGATATCTACAGAATATTAAAGAATATAAACTTTGGTTTCTAAGAAATGAATACTTAAAGAAATAAGTGAAATAAATGAATAACTGCGTATCATGGTTATTAGCAATCAAAACCCAGGTCTTTTTTATATATAATTTTATCATCAAATTAACTTTTAGGTGACGATCAATTGCCTTCAGACTCCTACGGGGGTAAAATAGTGGGTGGACTGGACACTGATATATACTTCTATCCTTACCAACTCTCACTTCAATACTTGGGTCTTCACTCATGCGGGGCATCTCTCATATCACCTACTTGGGTGCTGACAGCGGCCCATTGTGTTTTCGGGGTATTTACACCTTTTATATCAATCAGAGCTGGAGCAACAGCAAGGCAAACTGGAGGGGAAGTAATACAAGTTAAGAAGAAATACATACATAAACTATACGATACTTATACTATAGATTATGATATAGCCCTACTAGAACTAAAAGAGCCAGTGGATCCTGATTACGCAGAAGCCATTCCACTTCCACCTGAAGGTTCCAACGTTAAAGGTGGAGATACCGGCACCATAGTTGGCTGGGGCTTTACCACGGAGAATGGAACAGCCAGTAAAACTCTGAGGGTAACTGAAATTCCTATTTTGAATCAAAGTGATTGTAAAAGAGTCATGGGTAAGTTTATCACCGATAGAATGTTTTGTGCCGGCTTAGTGAAAGGAGGCAAAGATGCTTGTCAAGGAGATTCAGGCGGACCGATGGTAGTCAATGGTGTGCAAATGGGAATCATTTCATGGGGAAGTGGATGTGGAGAAGCGAGAAGACCTGGGGTCTATACTAATGTAGCAGTTTTAAGAAGTTACATCAAAGAAGTGTCGGGTATATGATAAATGAATTAGAAATAGAATTACACTATAAAAAATTCATTTTATAACATTTTTTATAGGTATATTTTCTATTTAATAAATTATGTTTTGTTTGTATTTACATTATTTTTAAATTTGTTTAGTTTATACCTGTTTTTTTATTTAAAGGTCTGTTTTATCAAAAATCTACTATCGGTTAAAATACTAAGTACATTTTAATGGATTCGATCGTTACTTGAGGAAAATTCATTTTATGTAACAATAAAACACTGAACACTTCCAAAAAATTTATTATAAAACCTTATTACTACAGTTGTTTCGGCAGAGTGCGTTTCTCAAGTGATCTATTTTTGGCATGCGTTCACACTAAATAGTCTTTAATGAAATAGGTTGAGAAGGGGAGAACTGTTTGTCTTAAGTTGGTCATTCAGAATTATATCTGTGATTTTTAATTTGTTAATTTCCATAGATTCTAACAAATATAGCTTAAGGCCTTTATTTTGAATCTGAAGAATTTAAAATTCGTCATTAAAAGAACGATTTTGATCTAGAAGGTAAAGTCCGTATGTAGAATCTGTTTTTCTATTATTAAAAGCCCTTTTATGTTCTGCTATTCGTTTATTAAAATTTCTACCAGTTTGACTGATGTAAGTTTTTGGGCAGTAGCACCATTCAATTTTGGATACACCATGTTTAAGTGTTTTTTATTTTGGCTCTTGTTGTTTTTAGTTAATTTGCCTAAGTTGTTGTTTGTTCTAAAAGCTGGTGTTATTTTTTTCTTTTTATGTGTTTGGCTATTTTTGTTAAAATTTGCCCTGTATATATAATCGAGCAGTAAGTACTGGGTTTTTTCTATGGTGGTGGAAATACTAAATTCAGAGCTTTCTTATGTAATTTTTTATTTAAAATTTTATTAATTGTTCGTTTGTTGTATCCATTGTTTACTGGTATTTGTTTAATAATATTTAATTCCGTCTTAAAATTGTATTTTGACATCGGAATTTCTGTTAATCTTTGTAACATACTATGATAGGCTGCCAGTTTATGTTGTGTGGGATGGGATGATGAATTATGTATAGTCGTGTCCTTATGGGTAGGTTTATGAAATATGGAGAAGTCATGTTTGATTTTAGGGCTGATAATTTTTAAATCTAAAAAATTCATGGAATGAGTTTTTTCTGTTTCTTGTAGACGAAGTACTGGTATGTTTCACAGGAACTAACAGACAACTCGACTACTTTTTATCGTATATTAATTCACTTCATTGTCAATATGAATTTACAATAGAAACAGAACAAAATCAATCCATAAATTTTTTAGATTTAAAAATTATCAGACTTAAAAACAAACAAGATTTCTCCATATTTTATAAACCTACCCATACTGACACGACTATACATAATTCATCATCCTATCCCACACAACATAAACTGTCAGCCTTTCATAGTCATCATCATTATCCTTCAATCTTCGCTTATCCACTGCTGGACATAGATCTCCCTCATAATTTTCCATCTATTTCGGTCTTGTGCCTCTTGCATCCAATTCCTATGACAATGTTTTAGATCGTCAGTCCAACGTGTTGGTGGAAGACCTCTGCTTCGGTAGGCTTCTCTTTGTCTCCATTTCAGTATCCGCTTTGTCCATCTATTATCTGTCAATCGAGCCACGTGACCTGCCCAGTTCCATTTCAGTGTTGCTACTCTCTCTAGTGCATCAGCAACTTCTGTTCTTTGTCGTAGCTGGCGATTTGGGATCTTGTCTCGTAGTGAAACGCCCAACATAGCACGCTCCATCGCCCTTTGACGGTTATGGTAAACGCTACATTATACGTCAGAATGAAGATGATAAGAGTTTTATTCCTCGAGGCTAGTTTAATTTTTTCCTCGACAAAGAATACAGGTTTGCAGAAACATTGGTAAAAAAAGGTGTTTGGAAAATGCATCCTACCACTCAAGAGTAGAACAGAGATTTCCTTCAAGCAGCTGGACAAAAAAAGAAGAAATAAAGTTGTGATTGATAGGAAAGAAAATTTATCACAGTGACATATTTTTAAAAGTCGATTTACTTCAAAGGTGTGGAGAGCACAAAATTCAAAACAAATTTGTTACTGACCAAATGGCTCTTAAATATTGCCATGAAGGTCTTCGACGTCAGCCCTAATATTGCCACCATAATGCAATTGAGTTAGTTTTGGGTAGAGCCAAAAATTTTTATGTTAAACGTGCATCCAAAACAGATGATGCTAGCGTTCTTAGAACGGAAAAAATCGCTGAAACAAATAAAGGCAAAACAATGGCAAAATTGTATTAGAAATACGGAAGACAGTGAATAGGACAAATCATTTGCTAAAAAGAAGTAACAAAAAAGTATTTCGGGAATTCCATTGGGGCTTTGTAGTGTGTTTTAGTTAAACGATACCGTACCTTCGGTCTAATTACTGGACTGCATACTCTCAATAGCTTTGGTAATAATTACTGGACTACATGTGTTTAAATCTTTTGTTTTGCTGATAACTCGGAAGTGATTTAGTGCCAATTTGTCATAAGGTTATATTTGATACAGTGTCTGCAGAAAGTAAAGTCTTTGATGTATTTTATTCAAATTTAGATATACCAGCAACTTGGCAAGTATTTTCCAATTTAACTGCATGCAAAATCATTTGTATAATTTTCACTTTATGCAAAATAAAGACTTTTAGAGACCTTGATGAGCATTTGATGTCGACAAGTAATTTCGAGCATTCTAAATATTCCGTCCCACTTCTTTTAACACGCCCTGTATATACATATTATATTCATTCTATTTAACTTTGATACAGTAAAATCCAATATTATTACTGAACATAAAATACAGGAAATTAAATATTTTTAATTTTCAAGCGATCGGAATTAAATATTTCTTACTGTTTGAGACCCACTGATCATAATCTTAATTACATATCGACCGTCACAGGGTAAAAGGAGTATATGAATATACTTTTACAAGCATTTCCAGCAGATTTAACCGTTTTTTACAAATTTAAAATCTTCTTCTTAACGTGCCCTATCAAGTCCCCTTGACGTTGGCGATTAACATGGCGAAACTGTCTCTGTCTCGAGCGATTCTAAATAGTTGCTCAGCTTTCTTTATTCCTGTCCACTCCCTGATATTCTTCAACCAAGAGGCCTGCTTTCTACTAATTCCTCTGCGTCCTTCGATTCTACCCATCATAATAAGTGGAAGAATATTATATCGGTCTTCCCTTGCTCGCGAGCAGCATTTGCTCTCTCAAGGACTGCCACATTTGTCAGTATAGCCGTCCATGGAATTTTTAGTATACGTCTGTGCAGCCACACTTCAAAGGCCTCCAGACGATTAATGGTGGATATTTTTAATGTCCATGCTTCGACACGTATAAGAGGACTGACCAAATGTAGCATTTAACCATGCGCTTTCAAAGTTGAAGTTGCAAGTTATCATTACAGAAGAATGACCTCATTTTTAAAAATGTCTTGCGGGCTATCTCCATTCTACATTTTATCTCTTGATCTGGATCTAGTTGTTCAGTAATATGGCAACCAAGATATTTAAAACTGGACACTCTTTGAATTATATGACCATCAACATATAATCGTGCATCTTGATGTGCTAAACGGCTAAACACCATGTGTTTTGTTTTTGCACAGTTTATGTTTAGGCCAAACTCTCTTCCCACTGTATCAATGGCAATTAAAAGGCATTGTAATCCATTCATGTCATCACTTAAAATATGCAGCAAATTATGCAGCGCTTCTTTAAATATTCTATCTGAATATAAATTAAATAACAGTGGGGATACTATTTAAATATTGGATAGAAATTTAAAATACTTACTTTTTTTTTAAACTGCGTATACAAATGCCAAATATGACTTTTAAGTTTTAGATTTTAACAATAAAAGATTTTACTTTAGGGCAGCTACCGCTTTGTTACTGAATATTTTTTTTCAGCACTAAAACAAAATTTTTCTGCATATCGTATTATGTTACACTTCATTCCCACAGGCTAACGATATAGGAGTATGAACCCATCACTTTTGTTAACTAGCCTAAGGTCGATCATCGCATTATTTAAAAGAATATTGACTTACAAAAACGATTGAATACGACATAAAACATTTACACGACACTCCTAATTTACCAAATTTATTAAACAGCAGAATAATTAGTCTACGTGTGTTAGTATGCACCAATCTACAGAGCAAACAGAAAAATTCCGGCTGGTGTAAATTCAAATAAAAATATTTACATTATTATTAAATAAGGTATGATTTTTTATTTATTTGTTTATATCGTTCTAATAATTGTCATAAATATTTTAAGTTCTGTGTACCTAATTATTATTATTAGAAATTCTAAATGTAAATTCACTTGTCTAGCACCATCTTTATGATTTATATCTAACCAATATATTCTAAACTACATATCACTCTTTACATCTGAAAGAAGTCTGCCTGTTTCACCCCCGAGTAAGTTCAGTTCGATACCCCTATTGATGCTAGTAGCCACCGCCTTCACGCAGACATCAATTTTATTCTATATCTCTGAGATGGCGCTAAAGTGACGAAATTGGCTTTTGGTTTAATTTACTTTATTTTTACTACTTTTTACTACTAAAGAGGTTTACTAATGTAAAAATAATAGTCTTGTTCACTTATTTGTCATAATGCATCTCCTGACAATGTTTTCGAAAATAATACGTATCGACACCTGATATGAAAAAGATTGTAACTGACTTTTGTTTAGTTTAGAGGAGAACACTATTTCCACATTATTTTATTTTTTTCCATCGTGAGTTTTAATATTTTTTTGTAGTTTTCCTAATCCATATTTTATAACTTTTTCTTAGCTTTTCACTTTCACGTATCACATTATTATTTAAATTACTGATTGAGATCGAGTTATAGTATCAATTTTTTAAAGAATTTTAGGTGAAGATTTAAACAATTGTGGATTGTTAATGATGCATTGTGTCATTAATTTGCAAAATTCGAGATGACC